ATCAAAAGCCTTCAGGAAACACCAACAAATGGGAGGCTATGGATAACTTGTACATTGTGCCTTTCAAAAATAAACCCATAATCATACATTCATGATACAAGAAAGAGACAGTATATTCCATAAATCAGAGTATTTAATACAAGAGTGTTACATGTTGACAACAAAAGTAGATGCCGTACGGGCTTACAACTTTCCAAGTCAACACTTGGGTTCAACAAAAGAGAGTTCTAACTCTAAACATATTAAGCCCTTGGCTTGAATTACATGTAACACACAAAATAATCACAAAAATAAGCCTTCAGCTTCTACAACCTCCCAAGCTACATCCTTGGAGGCGGCATATCACCTGTACCTGAAAATGATGTCCCATATAGGGTGAGCCAACGCCTAGTAAAGATATGCTAAACATAGTATGAGCAATAAATAAAACATTAGCATTTGATAAATATTTAACTTATATAAACCAGCGTACATCCTTATCAGAACCAATTCATAATCATCGATACCTATATATATAAATGATTTCCATTCTTTTCTATTCCATAATCCAAACCAAATCATAGTTATGTTTCTCTGTTCATCCAGACAGTACATAATGAGACTACAGCTCATATCAACAATACTTCAATTTCAAATGAGATAACAACTCATATCATTAACACTTCAATACCTCCAAAACAGGTTTGAGAGTCCATCTCCTATCTCCTCCCAAACCGGTTTGAGAGTCCATCGCATATCTCCTCCCAAACAATATACAATGTATTTAAACACTTATCAAATACAATGATCAATTAATACACATGCTCGATGTATTACCCCAACCGTCATATTCAATGACATGTTCAATGTGATTAGTTTCAGTTTTCCCTAATCAACATACAGTGTCTACAACAATCAAGACTATCCTCCACCGATAGCCCAAAGCAATTATTTCTAAACAGATAATAAATGCATCCACCTTAAATTATCAACAGATAAATTATCAACATTTTCACAAGTGAGTGATTTATCCATTCAACTCCACCATTAAGTCTCATAATTACCCAATTTCATTATTTCCAACTCAATTTCATATCCCGTAACTTTTCCAAATTAATCTATCACAATAAATTAGGGCTTTTCTCTCATTTTTCTCAACATTGACCCAAGGGTCCAAATATCATCAATTAAACAACCATAATCTCATTTTAAGACCCAAAATACACATGTATGGGTCAAAAGAACACAACCCCTCTTTATACATTTCGAAACCCTAACACCCAAAATTCCCCAACTCAACATTAAATCAAAAAGGCTACATGATTATGTCAAAGACCATAAATATGAGTAGTTATCCCTACCTCAAGTTTAGAAGGGGAAGAAGGAAGAAAAACCCAAAAGTCCACGGAGGAGAAACCAAGCTTTGTTTAGATCAAAATGAAGCCCTCGACAAGCTCTACACTTTGACTCAAAGGAGCAAGGTGAGTAGAGGTCTTCAAATAAGTAGATCTAAGGATTTTTGAGTGAAAAGTGCCTTGAGAGAGAGAAGGCGTTTCACGGTTTAGAGAAAGGAAATGGAAGAAAAAGTGAGAGAAAAGGTCAAGTGAGGGCCTTTATATAGTACTTGGTCAAAACTAGATATAAGCCCCAAAGTAAACTCAAAATATCTAGTCAAAATATCCCTAAAAAGTAGGCCCAAACTGGTAGAAAAATCTGGGAAAGCTTTGACTGCACTGCAGGTGTCGACACCACCCCAGACTGGTGTCTACCTTATCTTCCAGCAACCAACACACAGACAGAAGATGGTCGACCCTCTCCCAGTCTGGTGTCTACCCTATGTTCCAGCAACACTTCCAGAACTTCATCAACAGGTAAGGGTCGACCCTAGGAAGGCTGGTGTCCACCCTAGAATGGAATTTCTAAGTCTCCAAGGAACTTTTGACAAGAATAAGTGCGAACAACCAGACCCAGCGAACTTAAATCAATTTGTACTCCTCCAAAACTAAAGTACAACAACACCAAAGGTTCCCAAAATAGAATAAAGGGTCCAAATATAGTTACCAAAAGCTTTAAAAGGCACAAGTGCTACAATGCAGTAAAGTACGCTAAAGGAGTTCCTTTAGCTCTCAAAGTTTTGGGTTCTTTTCTTTGTGGTCGAAACAAAGATGAATTATAACCAAGTCATAACTTGTATATTATAGAATTTTTTGTTGTTTTTATTTACTTTTTTTTAAGGAAAAGATATTTTGATACAAGTAAAAATCGTGATTTTTGATAAATTTGATTAATACAAATAAGGATTTGATTTCAGGTTGAGAGTATATACATATATATATATATATATATTTAACTTTGAAAGAAATTGTTTGTATGAGCATTTTATCTAGAATCACACATAATGACAAAAATTTTCCTCAACCATTGGCAAATTTGTTTGTATTTGGCTTTTAATTATTAAAATTTTCCACACATTAAATAATACTACTGAAAATCAATTTTTCATTTTAAAAATAAATTCCTGTGCATTGTACGGTCATTAATTACTTAAATTAAATTAAAATATTTCGCTTTTCTTTTTTGCATTTTTTTTTGTTCCCTATGATTTACTACCAGTTCGTTGTGTGATGCAAGATCAAATAAAGGGATAATTGTAAATTAAAAAAAAATTAAGAACTTATATTCTAATATTTTAATTTATTTTTAATCTAAATCATTCTCGTTAAATAAAAATCGAGAAAAAATTATTTTAAAATAATTTTAGTTGTTAAACTCAATATACAGATACATAAAATGTTTAAAATATATTGAGTTTAATAATTAAAATTTCAATTGATTTTACTTAATAAAAATAAGCAATGATTTAAACTGCAAATAAATTAAAAGTTCAGGATTTAAATTGAGAAAATTAAAAACTCAGGATTTACCTTGTTATAAGGTTCAAACTTTGAGGGTTTTTTTTTTATTTTGTAATTTCTGCTAAAATAATTATGTTTTTAAATAACATTTTATATATTTTAGTTCAATTATCTACCTGTATGTCTCTGCACATTTATATGTGTTGTTCCATAATTATCTTCATCCCTTACCATGAGCAAAATTAATCACAATTAAAATAATGTTAGTTTACGTTTTTATACCTGTTTTGAGTTTTGATTCACAAATTTGTTTTACTATTGGCCTAAATATACAGGTCTGAATCAATGTTCATCCAGGAACTTGTGGGGATACATTTTAGGAAGTTAAATCAAACATATTCGTGTGTTTCTGAAGACCTAGTTGGAATGGATTCTAGTGTGAAGGAAATGATTAAATTTCTAAGATTAGGGATGGATGATGCTCCTGTTGTGGGGATTTGATGGGTGGAATAGGTAAGACAACTCTTGCAAGTCCTATTTATGCCCATATCTCTTGCCAATTTCAAGGTTGCAGCTTCATTGAAATTGTTAGAGATTTTTTTTTCAGAAAAAGGTGGTCTGAAAACTCTACACGACCAACTCATTTCCGAAATCTTAAGGGAGAAAGATTTGAAAGTTCGAAATATTGGTAGTGCCTTAAGTACGATAAGGAACAGGGTATGCTGTAAGAAGGTTCATATTGTTCTTGATGATGTGGATGAATCAACAGAACTTGAAAAATTGGTAGGAGAGCTTGATCGGTTTGGTTTTGGAAGTAGAATCATTCTAACAACTAGAAATCAACACACATTAACCATATATGGCATAACACATATTTATATGGTTGAGGAATTAGGAGAAGATGAAACTATAGAACTATTCAAATTGAAAGCTTTCAGGAAACACCAACAAATGGCAGGCTATGGAGAACTTGTACATTGTGCAATAAAGTCCGCTAAAGGAGTTCCTTTAGCTCTCAAAGTTTTGGGTTCTTTTCTTTCTGGTCAAAACAAAGATGAATTATAACCAAGTCATAACTTGTATATTATAAAAAATTTTGTTTATTTATTTATTTATTTTTTTTCAGGAAAATTTGTTTTCATACAAGCAAAATTCATGATTTTTGATAAATTTGATTAATACAAATAAGGATTTGATTTCAGGTTGAGAATTTAATTTTTTTTTTTACACTTCGAAAGAAATTGTTTGTATGAGCATTTTATCTAGAATTACATATAATGACAAATGTTTTCCTCAACCATTAGCAAATTTGTTTGTATTTGGCTTTCAATTATTAAAATTTTCCACACATTAAATAATACTACTCAAAATCATTGTTTCATTTTAAAAATAAATTCTCATGCAATGTACGGTCATTAATTACTTAAATTAAATTAAATATTATGTTTTTCTTTTTTGCATTTTTTTTTCTTTCCCCTCTGATTTACTTCCAGTTGGCTGTGCGATGCAAGATATAATAAAGGGATAATTACAAATTTTAAAAAAAAAACTCAAGAATTTAAATTCTAATATTTTAATTTATTTTTAATCTAAATCATTCTCGTTAAATAAAAATCAGGAAAAATTTATTTTAAAATAATTTTAGTTATTAAACTCAATATAGATATACATAAAATGTTTAAAATATATTGAGTTTAATGATTAAAATTTCAATTGATTTTACTTAATAAAAAAAAGCAATGATTTAGACTGAAAATAAATTAAAAGTTTCAGATTTAAATTGACAAAATTAAAAACTCATGATTTACCTTGTTATAAGGTTCAAACTTTGAGGGTTTTTTTTTTTATTTTGTAATTTCTGCTAAAATAATTTTGTTTTGAAATAACATTTTATATATTTTAGTTCAATTATCTACTTGTATGTCTCTGCACATTTATATGTGTTGTTCAATACTTATCTTCATCCCTTACAATGAGCAAAATTAATCACAATTAAAATAATATCAGTTTATGTTTTTATAGCTGTTTTGAGTTTTGATTCACAGATTTGTTTTACTATTGGCCTAAATATACAAGCCTGAATCAATGTTCATCCAGGAACTTGTGCGGATACTTTTTAGAAAATTAAATCACACATATTTGTGTGTTTCTGAAGAGCTAGTTGGAATGGATTCTAGTATGGAGGAAATGATTAAATTGCTAGGATTAGGGATGGATGATGCTCGTGTTTTGGGGATATGGGGGATGGGTGAAATAGGTAAGACAACTCTTGCAAGTGCGATTTATGCCCATATCTCTTGCCAATTTGAAAGTTGCAGCTTCATTGAAAATGTTACAGAAGTTTCAGAAAAAGGTGGTCTGAAAACTCTACACGAACAACTCATTTCCGAAATCTTAATGGAGAAAGATTTGAAAGTTGGAAATATTGGTAGTGCCTTAAGTAAGATAAGGAACAGGGTGTGCCGTAAGAAGGTTCATATTGTTCTTGATGATGTGGATGAATCAACAGAACTTGAAAAATTGGTAGGAGAGCTTGATCGGTTTGGTTTTGGAAGTAGAATCATTCTAACAACTAGAAATCAACACACATTAATCATATATGGCATAACACATATTTATAAGGTTGAGGAATTAGGAGAAGATGAAACTATCGAACTATTCAAATTGAAAGCTTTCAGGAAACACCGACAAATGGCAGGCTATGGAGAACTTGTACATTGTGCAGTAAAGTCCGCTAAAGGAGTTCCTTTAGCTCCAAAGTTTTGGGTTCTTTTATTTCTGGTCGAAACAAAGATGAATTATAACCAAGTCATAACTTGTATAGTATAAAATTTTTTGTTGTTTTTCTTTATTTATTTTTTTTCAGGAAAATATGTTTTCATACAAGCAAAATTCATGATTTTTGATAAATTTGATTACTACAAATAAGGATTTGATTTCAGGTTGAGAATTTAAATTTTTTTTTTTTAAAACTTTGAAAGAAATTGTTTGTATGAGCATTTTATCAGAAATCACACATAAGGACAAAAGTTTTCCTCAACCATTAGCAAATTTGTTTGTATTTGGCTTTCAATTATTAAAATTTTCCACACATTAAATAATACTACTCAAAATCATTTTTTCATTTTAAAAATAAATTGCCGTGCATTGTACGGTCATTAATTACTTAAATTAAATTAAATATTCTGTTTTTCTTTTTTGCATTTTTTTTTCTTTCTTTTTTTCTTTTCTTTTGCATTTTTTTTCTTGCTTTTTTTTGTATTTTTCTCTTGCTCTAACTTTTGCCTGGGTCGCCCTTCCAGGTTTTCGGCCCAGTGAGCCTCTCAAAGGGTAAAAGTGTATTAAATAAAAATCAGGAAAAATTTATTTTAAAATAATTTTAGTTATTAAACTCAATATAGATATACATAAAATGTTTAAAATATATTTATTTTAATGATTAAAATATCAATTGATTTTACTTAATAAAAAAAAGAAATGATTTAGACTAAAAATAAATTAAAAATTTCGGATTTAAATTGACAAAATTAAAAACTCAGGATTTACCTTGTTATAAGGTTCAAACTTTGAGGCTTTTTTTTTTATTTTGTAATTTCTGCTAAAATAATTTTGTTTTGAAATAACATTATATATATTTTAGTTCAATTATCTACCTGTATGTCTTTGCACATTTATATGTGTTGTTCCATAATTATCTTCATCCCTTACAATGAGCAAAACTAATCACAATTAAATAATGTCAGTTTACGTTTTTATAGCTGTTTTGAGTTTTGATTCACAAATTTGTTTTACTATTGGCCTAAATATACAGGTCTGAATCAATGTTCATCCAGGAACTTGCGGGGATACATTTTAGGAAGTTAAATCAAACATATTCGTGTGTTTCTGAAAACCTAGTTGGAATGGATTCTACTATGAAGGAAATGATTAAATTTCTAAGTTTAGGGATGGATGATGCTCCTGTTGTGGGGATTTGGGGGATGGGTGGAATAGGTATGACAACTCTTGCAAGTGCTATTTATGCCCATATCTCTTGCCAATTTGAAGGTTGCTGCTTCATTGAAAATATTAGAGATTTTTTTTCAGAAAAAGGTGGTCTGAAAACTCTACACGACCAACTCATTTCCGAAATCTTAAGGGAGAAAGATTTGAAAGTAGGAAATATTGGTAGTGCCTTAAGTACGATAAGTAACAGGGTATGTCGTAAGAAGGTTCATTTTGTTCTTGATGATGTGGATGAATCAACATAACTTGAAAAATTGGTAGGAGAGCTTGATTGGTTTGGTTTTGGAAGTAGAATCATTATAACAGCTAGAAATCAACATACATTAATCAGATATGGCACAACACATATTTATAAGGTTGAGGAATTAGGATGAAGTTATAGAACTCTTTAAATCGAAAGCCTTCAGGAAACACCAACAAATGAGAGGCTATGGAGAACTTGTACATTGTGCACTAAAGTACGCTAAAGGAGTTCCTTTAGCTCTCAAAGTTTTGGGTTCTTTTCTTTGTGGCCGAAACAAAGATAAATGGGAAAGTACATTAAATAGACTGAAGGAAAGCCCTTTGAATGAAGTGCAAAAGTACTGAGAGTAAGTTACAATGCATTACAATTGGAAGAGAAAGAAATAGTCTTAGAAATTGCATTCTTTTTCAAAGGAAAAGACAGAAATGATGTAATAAAAATATTAGAAAGTTGTGACTTCCACCCAATTATTGGAATAAAAATTCTTGTTGAAAAGTCTCTTACAACTATCTCAGACAATAAACTGATGATGCATGATTTGATACAAGAATTGGGGTGGAATTTTGTTCGTCAGGAATCACCTAAAGAGCCTAGGCAGCGTAGTAGGTATTGGCTTTATGAAGATTCGACACATGTGCTGGTGAAGAATATGGTAAGAGATCATATTGAGAAGTATGAACACTCTAAACTTAATTATTTAACAAAGCTAATTTTGCATAGTGACATTCAATTGGAAACTCTTGAAGTTCTTAATGTCTCTGGGTGCTCAAAGGTTGAAAACATTTCAGTCAACTTTGGATATATGAAATGTTTATTAGAGCTTGATTTAGATGGGATTGGTGTAAGTGAACTTCCACCTTCAATTGGACATCTTTGCCAATCTTGTTTTATTGAGTCTGAGCAATTGCAAAAAATTGAGAAGTATTTCAGACAACATTTGTCAGTTGAAAACTCTTAGCAGTCTAAACGTCTCTGGGTGCTCCAAACTTGACAAACTGCCACAATACATGGGTGCTCTGGACTGCTTAAAGGAGCTTCATTTAGATCAGATTGCTATTAGACAACTCCCTTCCTCCATTGGACTTCTGAAGAAACTTAAAACATTGTCCTTGGAAGGGTGTAAAGGAGTAGCATCGTATTCATGGAGTTACTCCTTCTTTGCCTTCAATTTTACAAAAACGGAGAGAAAGTTACACAACTTTGGAACTAGAAGCTTTGTTAGGGTTGGAGTCTTTGGAACGACTACATCTCAATGATTGTAATTTAAAATCTATTCCCACAACTATTTTCCACATTTACTCATTGCGAAGTTTAGGTATAAGTGGAAACAATATTGAAAGTTTACCTGAAAGCCTGAATAAACTCTCGTCTGAATCAATGTTCATCCAGGAACTTGTGGGGATACTTTTTAGAAAATTAAATCATACATATTCGTGTGTTTCTGAAGACCTAGTTGGAATGGATTCTAGTATGAAGGAAATGATTAAATTTCTAAGATTAGGGATGGATGATGCTCCTGTTGTGGGGATTTGGGGGATGGGTGGAATAGGTAAGACAACTCTTGCAAGTCCTATTTATGCCCATATCTCTTGCCAATTTCAAGGTTGCAGCTTCATTGAAATTGTTAGAGATTTTTTTTTCAGAAAAAGGTGGTCTGAAAACTCTACACGACCAACTCATTTCCGAAATCTTAAGGGAGAAAGATTTGAAAGTAGGAAATATTGGTAGTGCCTTAAGTACGATAAGGAACAGGGTATGCCGCAAGTAGGTTCATATTGTTCTTGATGATGTGGATGAATCAACAGAACTTGAAAAATTGGTAGGAGAGCTTGATTGGTTTTGTTTTGGAAGTAGAATCATTAAAACAACTAAAAATCAACACACATTAATCATATATGGCATAACACATATTTATAAGGTTGAGGAATTAGGATGAAGTTATAGAACTCTTTAAATCGAAAGCCTTCAGGAAACACCAACAAATGGGAGGCTATGGAGAACTTGTACATTGTGCAGTAAAGTACGCTAAAGGAGTTCCTTTAGCTCTCAAAGTTTTTGGTTCTTTTCTTTCTGGTCGAAACAAAGATGAATTATAACCAAGCCATAACTTGTATATTATAGAATTTTTTGTTGTTTTTATTTATTTATTTATTTTCAGGAAAATATGTTTTGATACAAGTAAAATTCATGATTTTTGATAAATTTGATTAATACAAATAAGGATTTGATTTTAGGTTGAGAATTTAATTTTTTTTTTTTTTTAAACTTTGAAAGAAATTGTTTGTATGAGCATTTTATCTAGAATCCCACATAATGACAAAAGTTTTCCTCAACCATTAGCAAATTTGTTTGTATTTGGCTTTCAATTGTTAAGATTTTCCACACATTAAATAATACTACTCAAAATCAATTTTTTATTTTAAAAATAAATTCTTGTGCATTGTACGGTCATTAATTACTTAAATTAAATTAAAATATTATGTTTTTCTTTTTTGCATTTTTTTTCCTTTCCCTATGATTTACTACCAGTTGGCTGTGCGATGCAAGATAAAATAAAGGGATAATTATAAATGCAAAGAAAAAACTCAAGAATTTAAATTCTAATATTTTAATTTATTTTTAACCTAAATCATTCTCGTTAAATAAAAATCAGGAAAAATTTATTTTAAAATAATTTTAGTTATTAAACTCAATATTTATATACATAAAATGTCTAAAATATATTGAGTTTAATGATTAAAATTTCAATTGATTTTACTTAACAAAAAAAAGCAATGATTTAGACTGAAAATAAATTAAAAGTTTCGGATTTAAATTGACAAAATTAAAAACTCAGGATTTACCTTGTTATAAGGTTCAAACTTTGAGGTTTTAGTTTTTTTTTTCTTTTGTAATTTGTGCTAAAATAATTATGTTTTGAAATAACGTTTTTTATATTTTATTTCAATTATCTACCTGTATGTCTCTGCACATTTATATGTGTTGTTCCATAATTATCTTCATCCCATGCAATGAGCAAAATTAATCACAATTAAAATAATGTTAGTTTATGTTTTTATAGCTGTTTTGATTCACAAATTTCTTTTACTATGGGGCTAAATCTACAGGTCTGAATCAATGTTCATCCAAGAACTTGAGGGGATACTTTTTAGAAAATTAAATCATACATATTCGTGTGTTTTTGAAAACCTGGTTGGAATGGATTCTAGTATGGAGGAAATGATTAAATTGCTAGGATTAGGGATGGATGATGATCGTGTTGTGGGGATATGGGGGATGGGAGAAATAGGTAAGACAACTCTTGCAAGTGCTATTTATGCCCATATCTCTTTCCAGTTTGAAGGTTGCAGCTTCATTGAAAATGTTAGAGAAGTTTACGAAAAAGGTGGTCTGAAAACTCTACACGAACAACTCATTTCCGAAATCTGAATGGTGAAAGATTTGAAAGTAGGAAATATTGGTAGTGCCTTAAGTACGATAAGGAACAGGGTATGCCGCAAGTAGGTTCATATTGTTCTTGATGATGTGGATGAATCAACAGAACTTGAAAAATTGGTAGGAGAGCTTGATTGGTTTTGTTTTGGAAGTAGAATCATTAAAACAACTAAAAATCAACACACATTAATCATATATGGCATAACACATATTTATAAGGTTGAGGAATTAGGAGAAGATGAAACTATAGAACTATTCAAATTGAAAGCTTTCAGGAAACACCAACGAATGGCAGGCTATGGAGAACTTGTACATTGTGCAGTAAAGTCCGCTAAAGGAGTTCCTTTAGCTCTCAAAGTTTTGGGTTCTTTTCTTTCTGGTCGAAACAAAGATGAATTACAACCACGTCATAACTTGTATATTATAAAATTTTTTGTTGTTTTTATTTATTTATTTATTTTCAGGAAAATATGTTTTCATACAAGAAAAATTCATGATTTTTGACAAATTTGATTAATACAAATAAGGATTTGATTTGAGGTTGAGAATTTAATTTTTTTTTTTTTAACTTTGAAAGAAATTGTTTGTATGAGCATTTTTTCTAGAATCACACATAATGACAAAAAATTTCCCCAAGCATTGGCAAATTTGCTTGTGTTTGGCTTTCAATTATTAAAATTTTCCACACATTAAATAATACTACTCAAAATCAATTTTTTATTTTAAAAATAAATTCTTGTGCATTGTACGGTCATTAATTACTTAAATTAAATTAAAATATTATGTTTTTCTTTTTTGCATTTTTTTTTCTTCTTTTTTTTTTCCCTATGATTTACTACCAGTTGGCTGTGCGATGCAAGATAAAATAAAGGGACAATTATAAATTAAAAAAAGAAACTCAAGAATTTAAATTCTAATATTTTAATTTATTTTTAATCTAAATCATTCTCGTTAAATAAAAATTGGGAAAAATTATCTTAAAATAATTTTAGTTATTAAACTCAATATAGATATACATAAAATGTTTAAAATATATTGAGTTTAATTATTAAAATTTCAATTGATTTTACTTAACAAAAAAAAAAGAAGCAATGATTTAGACTGAAAAAAAATTAAAAGTTTCTGATTTAAATTGACAAAATTAAAAACTCAGGATTTACCTTGTTATAAGGTTCAAACTTTGAGGGTTTTTGTTTTTGTTTTTGTTTTTGTAATTTCTGCTAAAATAATTATGTTTTAAAATAACATTTTATATATTTTAGTTCAATTATCCACCTGTATGTCTCTGCACATTTATATGTCGTGTTCCATAATTATCTTCATCCCATGCAATGAGCAAAATTAATCACAATTAAAATAATGTTAGTTTACGTTTTTATAGCTGTTTTGATTTTTGATTCACAAATTTCATTTACTATTGGCCTAAATCTACCGGTCTGAATCAATGTTCGTCCAGCAACTTGAGGGGATACTTTTTAGAAAAATAAATCATACATATTCGTGTGTTTCTGAAGACCTAGTTGGAATGGGTTCTAGTATGGAGGAAATGATTAAATTTCTAGTATTAGGGATGGATGATGCTCGTGTTGTAGGGATATGGGAGACGGGTGGAATATGTAAGACAACTCTTGCAAGTGCTATTTATGCCCATATCTCTTTCCAATTTGAAGGTTGCAGTTTCATTGAAAATGTTAGAGAAGTTTAAGAAAAAGGTGGTTTGAAAACTCTACACGAACAACTCATTTTCGAAATCTTAATGGAGGAAGATTTGAAAGAAGGAAATATTGGTAGTGCCTTAAGTACAATAAGGAACAGGGTATGCCGTAAGAAGGTTCATATTGTTCTTGATGATGTGGATGAATCAACAGAACTTGAAAAACTGGTAGAAGAGCTTGATTGGTTTGGTTTCGGATGTAGAATCATTAAAACAACTAGAAATCAACACACATTAATCTGATATGGCACAACACATATTTATAAGGTTGAGTAAATAGGAGAAGATGAAGCTGTAGAACTCTTTCAATCAAAAGCCTTCAGGAAACACCAACAAATGGGAGGCTATGGAGAATTTGTACATTGTGCAATAAAGTACACTAAAGGAGTTCCTTTAGCTCTCAAAGTTTTGGGTTCTTTTCTTTGTGGTGGAAACAAAGATGAATTATAACCAAGTCATAACTTGTATATTATGGAATTTTTTGTTGTTTTTATTTATTTTTTTTTCAGGAAAATATATTTTGATACAAGTAAAATTCATGATTTTTTATAAATTTGATTCATACAAATAAGGATTTGATTTCAGGTTGAGAATATATCTATATATTTTTTTTATTTTTAACTTTGAAAGAAATTGTTTGTATGAGCATTTTATCTAGAATCACACATAATGACAAAAAGTTTCCTCAACCATTGGCAAATTTGTTTGTATTTGGCTTTCAATTGTGAAAATTTTCAACACATTAAATAATACTACTCAAAATCAAATTTTCATTTTAAAAATAAATTCTCGTGCATTGTACGGTCATTAATTACTTAAATTAAATTAAAATATTCTGTTTTTCTTTTTTGAATTTTCTTTTTTTCTATCCCTATGTTTTACTACGGTTGGTTGTGCGATGCAAGATAAAATAAAGGGATAATTATAAATTTTAAAAAAAAAAAACTCAAGAATTTAAATTCTAATATTTTAATTTATTTTTAATCTAAATCATTCTCATTAAATAAAAATCGAGAAAAAATTATTTAAAAATAATTTTAGTTATTAAACTCATTATAGATATACATAAAATGTTTAAAATATATTGAGTTTAATGATTAAAATTTC